CATTCGCATTACCTATTCATCGCATTCGCATCACCTATTCATCGCATTCGCATCAACTATTCACCGCATTCGCATCACCTATTCATCGCATTCGCATCACCCATTTATCGCATTCGCATCACCTATTCATCGCATTCGCATCACCTATTCATCGCATTTGCATCACTTATTCATCGCATTCGCATCACCCATTCATCGCATTTGCATCACCTATTCATCGCATTTGCATCACCCATTCATCGCATTCGCATCACCCATTCATCGCATTTGCATCACCTATTCATCGCATTTGCATCACTTATTCATCGCATTCGCATCACCCATTCATCGCATTTGCATCACCTATTCATCGCATTTGCATCACCCATTCATCGCATTCGCATCACCCATTCATCGCATTTGCATCACCTATTCATCGCATTCGCATCACCCATTCATCGCATTCGCATCACCCATTCATCGCATTCGCATCACCCATTCATCGCATTCGCATCACCCATTCATCGCATTCGCATCGCCCATTCATCGCATTCGCATCACCCATTCATCGCATTCGCATCACCCATTCATCGCATTCGCATCACCCATTCATCGCACTTCTTACTGCACGCATGGGAAGAGGGTAAGAAATGTCTTGTTCAGCTGTGGTAATTTAGAGAGGGCGAATGTCTGATTCATTCATGGTGATCTTATGTTAATTTTGTTTTTGAACAAATGATTTCGCAAACATTTGCGATTGCAGACATTATGCGAATACTTGTCAACACTAATTATTGTTAATACAGTACGATGAGTACTACTCACGAGCTGTATCGACGAATAGTTGTCATAGAGATCAAAGTTCGACGAGCCCCATTGCGCATGGTAAATGTGCAAAATGTTTGACAACATTGCCAGACTATGGAGAGGATCCACGAAATAACGAAAAGTAACCAGGTCATGTTATGCTTTTTTCCCCAAAATAAGTGTTACAAACTTTAGTTTTATCAGCAAAAATGTGATATGGTCAAGTGTTATTCATTTTCAGGTTTTTCTTGGGCAACAAGTTTACATATGTGGTAGCCACGACAACCAGATCAATTTTCGTGTCTTGAAAAAGCAATTTGCAATTAAACTCACATTCCCATAGACTGTAACGTAGACTTCTTTAGTCGATGACACTTGCTCGCCGTGCTTTATTTCACCTT